ACCCCCCCCCCCCCCCCCCGGGGCGTGAGACCCTTTTCGTTCTAGTTTTGAATGTCCCCGTTAGCACAATTCATCAAAACAATAGCAAAATACTTACTGCAATAAAATGAGTGCTATATAAGGCCTAGATCACCCAGAAACACTCAAATTTAAATAACTGATGGGCACGCAAAACAATGGATGAACACTAAAAGTAATAGAAAAAATCAGTTTTTTAACACATAGAATCCTTCTATAAACACGACTTGTAACAAAGAAATATCAGGTAATAGCAACATATGTACTACGATTAATAGAGTTGTATATAAAGCTTAGATAGACTTGAAATTAAATGGTAACTTCCCGTAACCATGACTTGTAACAAAGTAATATCAGGCATCAGGCTAATTTCTAATAAAATGTGTTATCTGTATGCGATCAGAGGCTTAAATACAGTAAAAAAAATAAGCAAGGATTAGAAAGAGTACAGAATGTTATACGATTATTACCCAAAGTGACAAATAGGATCATCTTTATTTCAGTTTTTCAGTCCACGGTCATTCTTTATTTTTGCAGAGTAACATGCAAGGAAGTGCTGTGAATGAACTTAGAAAAATAAAAAAGTAAACCCAATTTGTCTCAAAGTTTTTATTAACTCAACCGAGGAGGAAATAGTTAAATTTTATGTCAATGGAAGGGGTCAGGGTAAGTGCTTCAAGACAACTTTCTTTATAACTATTCTCAGTTATCCCCCACACTATGAAACTATACCATTATACACTAAAATATGATAGAATTAACACAAACGCGGTTCACACGTTATTAGATAACATTTACTGAACGATACCTGCGGTTAATCATAAAATGAATTGCATAACTTTCTCCCTACGAAGGCAAAATTTTTGTTGTAATTTTTACTGATCTATTAAAATTAATCAGGTTAAATGACCGAGCAAACGTTTAAGAAACTTCTAAACTGCCCATTTAATTGGCTATCAAAACACCTATATCATTTATATGGCGAGTTATGACGAATCGTTCCCAAAAGCTGTCTACAAATCGGTAGAATAAAGTTATTTTGACACCTGTCTCACCTCAGATGTCTCCATGTATGAACTTGATTTTTCTTTTCAGTTAAAATAACTCGGTGAAGTCTGCAAGTGCTTACATTAGTTTGGGCGACTTGTATTCATGGGTTTCCCCCGCCTAACCTGCTTCATCACTAACATGCAGGCAACATGCTAGATTTTCGAAAAAGTCCTTCGTCCTAAAAAGCTCGCTCCGCTTGCTCTTTGCTGCAAAAGTGAAACTTGTCAGAGGTCGAGTTGTGGCTTGTCTACCAACATGTGCACATGATGTTATAAATGTGTTCGAGATGGAGAGAAGGAAGTTTCAAAAGTTCCCTGCTAGGTTTAACTTTACGATAACAAGACACGTACCAATATTTCGAGGTTTCTCCTGTGTGTACTTTTAAAAATTCCCTTCTTTAATAAATGGAATGATCGTCGTCCGCTCTTTTCGCATATGACCATGTTGTGCTTAATGCCGGAAGTAGAGTCGACCTTGATTTGGAACAACTCTGCATGAAACCCGCTTCGATATTTCGTCGAAAATAACTGAGTCGTTTGGCTACTTTCATGTATATTTCCCAATCTGGAAGTCCATTAACTCAAACCTGCATTTTAACAACACCAAACTGAAACTGTTTAGATCAATTGTTGATGAATACTATAAGCCCTTGCATAGGAAGTTCTTTAAAATTATGTACATTTATAGCCAACCAGAGAGCTTCGATCTGTTGACGTCATTCAATTGGAAACAAGTCACGCTCATGAATCAGTCGCCCTCAAGCCGGTATCTACAATCATCGTCAAAATTGTTGGGAAGACTGCTACTTACTTTGGTGACTTACTTACTTACTTTGGTTTCAGGATCGGATATAAACAGAAACTCCTCAAAAAGTAGATAACTTCTATGGGAGCAATATGTTTCGCGTGTTGTTGCATCTGTTCCTTTCAGTTTTAGTCAGAATTTAGCTATTTCTTGTTCGAGTGATTCTTGTTTTTTAGTTCAGTCGTGAATAAACTACATTAGGGCCGCCGCGCCTGGAAACAGGCTTTGAAAGATTGTGCTAGCATTATTTTTGGCATAATTCGTCACTTCATGCAGCCAATGTTAAAAAACAAAGTCAATCTTTTGTCTGCTTATTGTCACATTCATGGATCTATTGAATCACTTTCAATATACAGAGACCCCAGGTGGCTACAGTTCATGTTATTTTTTGGTATCTTTTCCTTGTAGAGGAAGCAATGAAGCTGTAAGACATCCAGTTGCTTCAGCGAGAGCGCCCTCGGAGCAAGGGGTAGGTGACATTTTTCTTTTTTAAAGACTGGTTTCTATCAGCATGGTATTAGTCTTCGAGACCTACACTAGACTGATGAGAGAAAGAGTTCTTTCCCGGATCCAGGTACTGGTATAGACTTCAAGTACTCTCTAATTTTCTCACAATAGAATGGGGAGGGGTCTCAAAAGCTGTACGCGGTTAACTGTTCTTAATTGATGAATCTGTGTACTCAGGAAACACTACACAAAAAACGGATCAGTTAGTCCCCCGGGGTTGTACTTTAGGTCGGAACTTTTGCGTGGGAATGTGCCGCTGGGACCTTAGCTGAACTAGGTCTGGTATAGGTCAGGGGTTCTAACTTTGCTATCCTATACTTGACCAAACTTCTCAAATCCCTTCCTATCCTAGAGTCGCTTTTTTCCAGATCCTACTGGGGTCATCGCTTTCTTTGCTAATAAACTGAGTTGCGGGTAAATTTAAATTTTCCGATTTCATTTTCTAGTGTCAGTCCCCGTTTTTCCCAGTTCTCGACCAACTGACCAGTTTTTCCTTGGAAATGATACACCCTATTCTAGATCCAAACCAGGGGCGCAGCGTCTATATACGCACGTACGCCCGCGAGAACACCTGCACTGATCTGTATAATATCAGTTCTTTTTCCCTGATTTCCAGGAAGTATTCTAATCATTAAATCGGGATTACTGATAATTCTCTTTCGCATTATAATGGTGTCTTTACCCGTCTGAAGGGTGGACATCTCACCCTTTGCTTGTAACCTCCTTGATAGCGTCACCGTTTTCCCTTTTTCCCGTTAACATTGTACCCTACCGATAACACTAGAGATGTAAACTAAACAACTAAACATTGCATTTCCCTCCGTATTTATTAACTGAAAATGTCCTGACAAATACGTAGCAAATGGCATTTCTGAGCCCCAAATTTGAAAACATTTCTGCTGGAGCATGTCCCCAGACCTCCCTAGTTTGCAGTACCGTCGAAGGTCTAACCTTTCTTTCCTCACGCTACGTCCCTGCAAACTCTCTGATTTTTGCACCTTATCCCAGACTAAACTGTTTGAAAACCATACCCTTCACAGCGGCACATACCTATGAGCCCATATATGGTGGTATCCCCCGGTCTATGTCCTTCTAAGAAAAAAGAATCTTTATCATTTCTTTTACTTACTGTAGGCGATCGTGTGTCAACCCACTGAGGAAGTTGATCATCCCACTCATGTGAGAGAACAGAGAGAAGAACAAAATCCTCAACAGCCTGGTGCCATACGAGGGACTCAGGATGGGCTGATGGGTCCCCAAGATATACCATCTTTGGTAGCTTTGGTATCAAGATACCCTGATCTCCTGGTGGAGCTACCTGTGATGGTTGTCCAGTTGCACTCAGGGAGTAGCCAGGCGATGCAGTATCACGCTTGTGACATGCAACCACATCGTGAGCTGGACAGAGGAAGACTGCAGGTCAACGAGAGGTTAAGACCACAAGCAAGTCAGAATGGAACTAGGTACTCTGTCGAGGAGACCAACCAATTTCACGAGCAGGCCCAAGAAGATGAACGCATTGGTGCAATTTCTCTTCCTCTGCAAATAATAATTAACAGGTTAGTACGCTTATGGTGCACACGGCGCAGTTGAGGGTCTGTACCTGGTAATCTGGTGAACCTGCAGAGCTGGCAAATTTGCTTTTTGCAGTTCAATTTCTTTTGATAGTATACTGATGTCTGATTAGTTCACGCGTTAGAACCCCTTTTTTTATCTTTTGGTTCATCATCTCAAACGGTCCAGCGGTCCGTTCCTCTCCAAAGATCCGACATTAATTGACCGGCTCAGAAACTTGTAGTTGTTTACATTCGGGAAAGAGGCTTTAGTTTTGCAGATAACATAATAAAAGTGTAAGTAAACAAAACAAAATGGAATCGTTTGTTAACTAGGACACTGGATCTTAATCTTTCTTCAGATTTTGATTTGAGTATTTGAATTCCGGGGGAGGGGGGCACTGCCCATAATGGCCTACACGGGCAGGCTCCGCCCGAAAGGGGTACCTTTTTCAGGCTTCAGGTATATGAAAGGGGAGGGATTTTACTCGTTGAAGTATATGAAAGGGTAGGGAAATCTCAGCCTAGTCTCTAGTCGTTCTCTCTTGATCCGTTGTCCGCGCGAAGTCTGGGAGAGAGCGGGCGGTGACGTCACAGCTTATGGTAGAGTTCAGAAATGACCGAGCCGAAAACGCCTGGGGACTAGGCTGGGGAAATTTGTCATTTGGGTCTGTGAAAGGGTCCAAAAGGGCTGAGAGATGAATTTTATGGCTTTATAAAGTCGAGAAAACGTTCCATTTTTGTGACTGATTCCTATTGAAAAGGCAAAGCATTTACAGCAGTTAAAAGGGATGAAAAGTTCTAAACAAGGTATGTGTAAAGGGTACCATTTGTCAATAGAAGGTATACGAAAGGGATACTTTTTTCGTGAAAAATGGTTTATAAAAGGGTAGGGGGTTAAACCTCGGGGCAGAGCCTCCCCGTATAAAAATTTGTTAAGTACCGTCCTCCGGAATTTGAATTCGGGACTTTCGAGAAACGAGAAAGTGCCTAGCGGCGGGGATTGAGGAGAGACTATATTTGCTTCTATAACTTCGATAATCCTCTCAGTTACTTCTAATTCTTTGTCCTGCGAGTTGTAATGTAGGTTTTTTTTAACTAATTAAGTCATTATTTTATCTTCATATTACATGGGTTTACAACAAACCAACTAAATAATTTGTAAGCTCAATTGGTTAGACTGGGCTCTACCGATATCCCAGAGGTCCAAGCCTGAATTTGTCAGGCTTTCTTCCCGCAACTGCGTTGCATGTAAAAGTTGCTTCCTAGTAAAATGATTCTCTTTACATTTAATTCTCTATTCCGCAACAGTTCTAATATATGTTCATACGTTCATTATTTGATTTGTTAGCCACTGTTTACGTACTGTTTCAAATTATTTTTTTCTTTTTGGCAGATTTTAAAAATTGCTCATGAAAAACCACACTCAACATTTTACAGAAAATAATTATAACATATATAATGATAAGATGATTTTCATTTCCATAGGTTAAGTCCTCCAGAGCCAAAGTCATCCATTGGTCAGAACTGTGGTGGAAAATATATTTGGAAGATAGAGCATTTCTCTCAGCACCTCCAGGATGCTCTTAATGGAATAATAACATCACTTGAGAGCCCTCCAATTTACACAGGCCTACAAGAATACAAGTTCTTCATGCGCATATTCCTAAAAGGCGTTAATGGTGGAGATGGAAGACACATGGGCCTTTTTGTTGGCATGATGAAGGGAGAATACGATACTGTTCTGGAATGGCCCTTCTGTGGACGAATCTCTCTCACCATCAAGGATCAAAGCACTGATGTTCATGGCTTTCGCAACGATATCAGTGGCACTTTCATGGCCAATAGAAATCTGGGAGCTTTTCAGAAACCTGCTGCCGCCGAGAGCGGATACACCACACTGTATGGCTACGCAGAGTTTGCGCCCGTCACCACGGTTTGTAACCAAAAGTACTCTAAAGATGACACAGTGATGGTCAAGATTGAGATCCATAAAAACATCTAAACAGTCATTTTCCTTCTAAGGAAGCGTAACTTCTTGGCTGTAAAAACTCCATAAAAGAATTTTTACATTTTATAAAACAACATATGAGTACAACAGCCAAGTACAAAAACTGCAAGAATGATAGTCATTAGTATTGTAATAACGTTTTTATACAGAAATGTTAGAGCATTGAATCTTAGATGAGTTTATAATTCTTTTTTAATTTTTTTTACCATTCTACTCAATACTTCTTTAGTAATGATATGTGTAACGACAAAAACTATGAACTAGAACTATACTAAGAGCTTATGCCAGTCCCGAAGGAGGGGTACTTCCTAGTAATAGGCTAATGGGGATGCGCCTCTGGATGGGGTCACATGCCGTTTTATGACTGGATTGACTATAATGGGGTTGCATTATTATTAGAGTTACTAGGATGGGATAGCATATTTTTGGGATTTGGGGAATCTGAAAATTCAGGTAGGTAGGATTTAAAAATGATAAGATCTTTTACTTCTTTAAGTTTGACCAAAGTGTCAATTCCTTTCAGGATGACCTACAGTGAAACCTCTATTAAGCGGACACCTTCGGAACCTTCCCAAGTGTCCGCTTAATAGAGGTTGTAAAAAATTGCGCAATGTTTGTCAACAATCAACATTCACCGGTACTCTGTACTGTGATAAAGTTGCATGTTGTTAAAGAAGTTATCCAGAGTTCAAATTCACTACCTTTCATTACTAACTTTAATTTGTTTGTAAATGCAAAAACATTAACTGACTTCAGTACGTATTTCAAGGACGTAATCCAATACTACTATTGTCAATTCAGTCCGATGTCCGCTTAATAGAGGTTTTTAACAGTAGAAATTGGCCAAATACAACTTATTTTAGTGTCCTCGTCCGCTTAATAGAGTTGTCCGCTGAATAGGGGCTCGTTATAAAGGGAAGTATCAGACGCTCGTTTCGGGACCAGGCTTAGTGTCCGCTTAATAGAGCCTGTCCGCTTAATTGAGGGTCCGCTTAATAGAGGTTTCACTGTAGTTAAAAGGCTTTACAAGTAGGATGCATAAACAGAAAGCGACTAAGTTGATATCGCAAAAATTACATTTTCCCAAAAGTGACTAAGATGGAGTCCATATTTGGCTATAATAGACTATAATCGGGTAGGGGTTCTGAGAGGCCAGCGGCACGTAACCAGCAGAAATTAACCCAAGTAACCCCCTCCTGGGGGGAGCCAGTAAT